CCCAAAGACACGTGAAATTGTTTCAAATATGGCAAGTGTGAATTAAAAAGCAAAAAATTTCCTGCAATTAAATGAAAAATAATATTTCTTGGTAAGAACCAAAGACCTTCCCAAAATCAAATGCAGACCATTAGACAGGATTATTTAAACAAATCAGAAAACAATCATGAGAGAGCATCATCCATTTATGTAAGCTACACAAAGACAATGTAAAACCCAAATGAAGTAAGAAAAGCATAAGAAAAGAGTAAAATTCTAGGCTAAAAGCAGAAAAGGACAGTATTGCTTAAAGAAGCAAAATTAAGGGGGATTTTCAAGAAAATAAAAGTACTTAATATGCAAAGGCAACACTTCCAGGAATCTCATACAGCAGTATAGAAACAATGAAGTACATACAGGACAAAAAAAAGTCAAAGGGAAAAATAAGAGTGAATTTAATAACAAAATTCTACAACCACACAAACAAAGACCATAAACTTCATGTGATAGGAAGAAGAAAGACCACCAGAACAGTAAAGAAAAAGATTATCAGCAGTGAATGGACAACAGCAGGGAACACAAGCAGCGAGGAGAAAGATGACCAAAAAGTAAAAATAAGGACCCTGTTATTCTGACATCTGCTATCATGTGAACACTAGAAGACAAAGCATTAACTGAAAAGATGCAAGACAGCCTGTAGAAAAACAGGATATGACCAACACTGAGGGGAAAATGCAACAAGTGATATCCACATTGTAATTTGTTTTGGTTCATGCAACCAGTTCTTTGTTCCGGTTTGGAATAAAGAAATTTTCTCCATATCACAAGCTTTCTAACAGGTAAAAAAAAAAAAATACCCTCCCCTACTTCCAAATGCTATGTTTAGTTTAGTATGAGTTAAACATCTGTATAATATTCACTAAATGTATAGGTTTTTGTTTGGTTTCATACAATCATCAGTCGCTTTCCAAATCTATAATCAGTACTGAAGAAATGCAGAAATATTCCTTCTGATTTTTAATCATCCACCATTAAACATGATCTTTTAAAATTATAAAACATTGATATATGTATACACAAAGATAATCCTATCATTAATAATAGGAAAATATCTAATATGACCATTAGATTCTAGATTTATAACTCATGAAATAAAGATTGTGTTTTAACAGCTTTGTTGCTTTGATCAGCTGCCACCTTCATATGCAAAGAAAGCAATACAGATATCTTTCTTTGAACAGCAGTGATTAAAAAAATACAGTATGTACCTGCAGGAAATCCCATTACATTGAATATTCTGTCCAGCTGGTCATGGTGATAAGGATTACTAGTTTTGATATCTTCTTGTCGACAATGGAATATTGGCTCTGATGTTAGCAGCTCTGCAAATATACACCCTATGGCCCAAATATCTTTAAAAAAGGAGAACAGAAATAAAAAAATCAAATGAATCTTTCCAAAAGCATCTTGGTGAGGTAGAATGTTAGTTTTTAGCTTATCAGAGATAAGGTCCCTGCATTGAAAATTTCAAGTTTCTCTTGTAGAAGTGCAACACTTCCTCGACTTTTAGCTACAGATAGAGGTACACAATTCAGTAACTACACAGGAGCTGAAAGAGTATCATACAGGTTTTTGTGGGGTTTCTAAAGTGTAGTTACCATTTATTGCCATAAAAAATAATTTGATTAAGAAAAAAAAAAGAAGGAAACTATCTGGGTAACTGTCCACGCATAAAATACAAATCAAGAAAAGCCAACCAACATCTTGCCCATTCACTGTCATACTGTCCCCGCCAAGAAATGTGCCCTCTCTGATCAGCCACTGGGTTTAATAAGTATTAAATGACCCAAAAAATACAAGTTGAAAAGCAGTGATATTGGAATAAGCCAAATGCTATCTATAAAACCTCGCAGAAAGAGAGTAACAAGAAAATTACTCCATGCCCACATATCTCACCCCTTTTTTAAATAACATTCATTTTAAAAAAAAACACCTTTCTGTTTTAACTGTTGTGTCCCAATCTGCAAAATCAGATAGCCTGAATTTTCCCTGTTGTTTTCCTGATTTTTTTCTAGTATATACAAATGCAATTTTTAACTTACATAACATAAAGTAATGCTACGCTGAACCTTGAATGAACAAGAAAAGGTCATGAACAAGGACAAAAGCAAATGATGCAGAGAGCATAACCCCATTACTCAGTGTTCGTATACAGTCAGTTTTTATCTATGCTGAAAAAAATTATGTACTAAAGGCTATGACTGTCCATGCAGTTTCACATGCTGCAAGCAGAAGAAAATGCCAGTAAAGTGAAGGAACATGCAAATACAACAAAAAAAGCAGTTTAAAGGAACATATAAAGAAATGTATTTAATCCAGAAAAGAAATACAGTACTAACAGAAAAGTAAATGAAAATACATTTAAGTCATAAACATTAGAATTTCTGACAAAAACACTGACACGATCTTAAAAAAATAATGGCGAAGGTCTGAGGAAAGAATTTCAGGTTACAGAAACAACAACATGTATGCTGACATAAAACATCCATGTTTGTGCAAAGTAAGTGGAGCGTTGCAGGGGAAGTTATTTCCCCAGAAATGCTTGCCAGTCTTTAACATATCTTTTAAACCAGCTAGCAAGAGAAAAACTTCCCAGTCCTCTTCCCTACAGTCTCCCTCCCTGCCATGGCAAAGCCGTTCACATCCACTAAAGGTGAACCTCCCTCCAGTCTGCTGCTGGGCTATTCCCCCTACCCTACAGCCAGAGCACACAACTGCTCCTGCCGCCAGCGATCCCTTACCCCCAGACTGGCAAAAGCAGAGACTGGCAGAGCGAAGTCAACCGCGCCATGCCAAAGCTGGTAAAATTCAGACTGGTAAGTACGAATTAAGTGGTGAGGAAGACGCAGCATTAAGCTGATGTAACTAATGCCATCCTCACAGCGCCTGCGTTCTGTGAGGTTTCTTTTTTCCTGGATATGCCTGATGAAGCATCACAGCCCAGCCTGTTGCATGACTCTGACCGCATCTCACTACTTCAGGCAGTTCCTGTTCACACTCACGCTTTGAAAAAGACACACAGAGAGGCTAAAACGCAGCTTATTTTTACAGTTTAATTTCAGTGCAGCAAATATATTCTCCATTCTTCACGTTCCCTACTACACTGGGTAAAAAACTCTGCAATAAAATTAATGCACTGTGCCTCATCAAAATATGGATTCTACTAACAGTTCGAAGATGCATCTGTATTTTGTATTGCTTCTAACAGCATTTGTGAAAGTCTTGTGTGAAAGCCATATAAACTTATATTGCATCGTAGGGCATTTGGAGCCAAAATGCAGTAATATTTCATTCCTAGATATAGCCAGAGACCGTAGTAAACTAAACAATTTGTCAAAGTTTAATATTTCTTCAAGCAATCAATAACGTACCTTTAACTCAGCTACTGTCCTTTGTACTATTTATCAATGCTTCAATATTTGGGTACACTCTGCATAAAAACCAGAACAGTAAGTTTTTGTCCAATTTACTTACCAATAGCTTTGGTATAATGCCTTGCTCCGAGAAGCAACTCTGGAGCACGATACCAGAACGTTACAACTACTGGATCCAAGTCTGCTAAAGGCTTCAGAGGTGAATTAAATAATCGGGCAAAGCCCATGTCAGCTGCAAAATTCAAAGAGAGGTGCTTTAAAATTTGAGGAAAACTACTGATTTTTTTTTTTAAATGAACTGATTGAGTTTACTTGTTAGCGCTACCATCACTGTGCTAAATAAAACACAAACACAGACTGTAGCAGATATGAATTCTGTGAGCAGATTTTCTTAAAGCTTTTGTAGAAGTTACTGGATGTCATCACCTATAAAGTATATCATTATAAATCATTACTAACATGAGCCATTTAGAACAAAGAATTAACCATTGTTCTGAAAAAGCGCATCAACTCACTTCTCTCAGGACACTGGTAAATCCTGATTCATTTTACCTGATATTCTCTGGTAAAATATTCCGTTATTACAGGATGGTCTTTCAAGAAGCAGCGTTTTAAATGTGAGCAAAATGCAGGTTCTGCAAAGGTTAGAATGATTTATAATACATACGTGCACATCACAAAAGCTCCTTCCTCCTGAAGTTAGCTGTAGCAAGATTTCCTTCACACAAAAACAGCAACTAAGCCTACAGCATCTGCCTTCCTGCTAATTTTCTGTCAAGACGTATTTCCAGTATCAAGATACCAGTACTAAATACCAGTTAGGCCATGATTTTAAAAATCTGTTTGGGGGCACTGCATCATTAAGAACTGTTTTTTAGAACTGGTAGTATACAACTGCCTAGAAAGCTGTCTGAACTACCAAATATAAGTGATGCAGGAAAAAATGGGCAGAGACTAAAATATGCACCTTCTCCCACCAAAATGCCTTCCCGACCCACCACTCCCCAAATCCCAAGAAAAAGGGACTCTGTGGTGCAGGGATATACACATGCTGAGAAAGACTCGAATGAAATGAGATGAGTAGCCATTCTGAGGGAAGAGGACCTACACGCTATAGCTCACTGGTTGAGGGAAAAATGCAGTGTAAATATGGGTCTCTAACTTGACTACACAATCCTTAATAATTTTTTTTCATATGCATTCCTATTTATGATTGTTTTAATGCATTTAAAAAGAGAAACATTTTACAGTTTTCTACATTAAAATATCGATTACTCAAGATATGATCAAGTCACTAGTAACTATGAAAAATAAGGAAAATTGTTGGCAGAAAGTGAATTTATGACTCAAAATGACACAAAAAGCCTATAAAAATTATTTTAAGTTAAATACCAGTTATGTATTTTTTAGAAAAATTAGTTACACTAGAAAAGTGGAAGCCCTTGGTATGGGTATAACTTCTGCATTCTTTTCCTGCTGTGGTAATATCTTAAGAGAATAATAAAGCAAAAATCTACATTTTGATAACACACTTAGAAATCCAGGGTCCCCCTCCCTCTTCCCCCGCTGGGAACGGATGGCTCAGAGGACTGGTGGTCCGATACAGAATCTTTCACCTGTCCATTAACAGAGTCTGACTAAATTTAGTTGTGCTCTAATTTATTCCCAAATTAATTCAAAACTATCAATTAAGAAATAAATGGGTGGTCTATGTGCAATTACTAGCAAGTAGTTGTGTACAGCAAATATCACCACCACAGTTGAACGTGAACATGCCCAGAGGATGACCTACATTCTAAATTTTGGAAGCAACCGCTCCATGAAGAATAAGGTAATAGGAAGAAGTTTTCCCTTCCGCTGTCCGTGCTGTACCTGTTCTGTATGGAGAAGACCTCAATCTCTACTGTCAACCTTAAACCTCGGAAGGGCATTAAAGGCTTTCAGGGTAGGATCTGCAGAAGTGTTCAGCCCTGGCCCGTCTGCTCCTTGGATTTCAAAGGGCGAGGGAAGGACTAGAGCAGCACTGAACGCTCCAAGAAAATCCTACCCCGAATCATTATACGAGTGATTAACAATATAGTTCAGGTAAACAAAACAGTAAGAGTACAGAGCAACAATGCAGAAGAATAATCTCATAAAGAAAGCCAGAGGGAAGTGAAAAAGATTGAACTAGCTTTAAAAAAACCCCTCCAAACAGGGCTGCATTACCATAACAAATATAAGTAGGCTGTGCATTAGCAGTCTGCTATCAAAGCACTGCCATGCTAATGCACAGCGTGGTATAGCTTATTACTGTTAGGCTACAGTTAATTTATATTTATTTATTTACTTTAATTTAAAACAACTGAAGTTCTACAAATTATCCTCTCACTGTGAACAGTAACTCCCACCAGAAAATGTTACAATAGTGGGGAAAGTGTTGGCTCCTTCCTACCCTGGTACACCCCAGTTTGAGCATTTAGCAGTAGTTCTCACTAAGCATTTTGGCTGGATTACTGTGTTTTCTGAACTTTACGATCCCTTGCGTTTATCTCCAAGGGACCTGTCTACCCTTTCAAGAACATTTTGTAGGCTAAATGCCACCTTTGATTCCATTATAAAATTTAAGGTTTGTAGTAATGAGTAGTTCCCTATTTAGATTTTATAAGCAGCAGCAAGATAATGTCATGGCATTACAGGGGTAAATGGAGGAAATTTTAAAATCCCATTTCTTTCTCCTCCTTTCCCCTAACTAGCTCTCATCTTTATCCCCATATCAAAATCCCCCACCCCACACAAACACCCACTTAAACAACACATAATGACATTTTCCACTTTTCATTGATGAGGCTACAGCATTTCATCATCAGAACTGGTGCATGGGGCTAATATCAAGAAGCCAGTCACTCAGAAAACAGCATTTAGGCAATGTGCCCAGGCACATACTACTATTACAGTGACTACTTTAGGTGGTACAACTGCACCTTCAGAACATTCTAACTTAAATGCTACACTGGGACTTATCAAAGATATAAACATACCAATTTTTACTCTTCCTCGCTCAGGACCTTCACCCATAACTAAAATATTAGCAGGTTTCTGTGGAAAAAAAAATAAATATACAATACATATACCACGACAAACCTAAACATTAGTCTCTGAAAAGTTAGTTAAGCTTTGTTTTGCCAGTTTTAAACCAACTTTGTTTTGATAAAAATGACAAGTTTCTCTGTCATGGTAAAGCTGTGCAAGGACCCAGACACAGGCTCTCCCTGACTGCATCTTCCTCATGTTTCTTTTCGGCACTTCTGTGCTCCAGCACCATGCTCCCTAACTGACACCCTGGTGTCTGTCCTCAACCCGCATGAGCTGGCAGTCGCCGAGCCGCCAAGATTTCTACCAAAATTGCCCTAGATCCTTTTGGCGGGAGGCAGTCCCGTTGCTGCCCACCACCCTGCACCCCCAGCACAGGGACGTGCACAGCTCTGCAAGATGTTTTGCCAAGGGTCATTAGGCACGTTTGCAGACACATTTTACATTAAAAAACCAACCCCGAGTGAGATGCAGATTAAACATTACCATATCACTTTATATCGGAGAGAAAAATCATCTAAATTATTCCTATTTACAAGTGTATACCAATTCAGACAGCTGCAAAACTGGAAAGCATTGCCTTTACATTATTTTTCTCTCTGACTTCCCTTCCTTTCTTTTACTAGGGAGGAGAGTTAAAGAATTGAGCTAGAGTTCAACTGGTTAGAAACATAACCACTCACTTCTTAGTCCTACATTTTCTGCCGTCCTGTTTCTCATAATCCAGTTTCGGCATCTGCAGTCAGAGGAAGATTCCTCAAATGCTAACACTGTTTATACAAATCAAACCTGCGGTGCTTCTTTTGAGGGGAAAAAAGTCAGGAAATTCACAACTAAAGCTGAAAAATTATGCTAGACCTGTTTTGAAATGGAGTGATTTAGATACCCACTCATACTCTAAATCCTGGACAAAACAGGGGCTTCTATTCAATTGTGAACTGTAAGAATTATAATAAGGCTGAGTTACAGCTCTTGCTCTGATTTCCCTGTTTAAATTGATCTGAAGAAAAAAGTACCCCAGCAAGATAGTTTAGGCTACCTAAAAGGTAATATAATAAATCTTAATATCTTGCTGTGATTTACCAGACACGTATTCTGGGAAATTCTCAAGTCTTCCTGAATCTATCAGGCTCTGGTGTAAACACATTCAAAGAGACAAAAGACCACAATTTTATACCCATCTAGTAGTATTTCATATTGTGTAAAACAAGGTGCAAAAAATTAATAATCCAGTGAAAAATTTCCGTGAGAAACTTAATTACTACTGCTTACGAAAGGCTCCAACATGGATTTCTGAAACTGTACAATCCACACACAAAATATGTAAAAGGAATTTGAGGTGTTGCATCTCGTCTCTGAGAGCACGGTAAAGACAGAAGAAAATGTCATAGCTTGACTGTGATCAAAGAGGTAAGATATATCCCATTATCTTTCCAACAGCAATAACAACAGATCCAACTTGTGCTGCATTAGCTCAGTGATATGCAGAAGAACTTGTGTCCCACCCCACCCACCCCCCCTTTTTGTTTTCTTTAATAAAGGCATACACTCCAGGTAAGTATTAATTCAACATAAAAAAATGCAGTATGGGGGCATACAGCTCACAAAGCATTCAATTTTATTGTTTCTAGAAAAGTCCTAGAAATAAACAAGCAGCATAAATCTTTAAATTCAGAGTTAATGTTGAAGTTTAAAGCAATTCAAACTGCTAGGTAAGAAAACACATCATTTCACCACATAAACCATCTATTGCTATGCTGTGACTCAAAGAGAAAATATGCAGATCTTTTACAAAAGCTGCTTCAATATATCTGGGATGTTAATGTTAGCTACATGCCTAATTAATATTTTTAGTTGAGTTAACGACACATTACACAGGCACTAAAATTTTTCAGATAAATAATACATTGACCTAAAGTATCATTTCTCCCCCTGCATTTTCACAGGTTGAAAATACTCTACAAAAATGCTTGTAACATCCTCATTATGTTTTTACCTTAAAATATTTTACTATTTGGATTTTGATAGGGACAAGGAGCCATATTCACGCAAAGACTGCATTCTACCAGATGATTAATCAGCACAGCACTGGGTAACAATTCCTGCCCCAAAGATCTTCTACCCTAAGTTCAAGGTAGGTACAGGTGAGAAGAGAAAGCACAAAGAGATGAGACAGTACTGGTTAGCAAAGTAAGGAGCTACAGCTTGATTCACACTCAGATTTTTTTTCCTGTCAGGATTTACAGAAAACGTTTAAAAATACAGACAGTTTAGAAATCCGTGTAGGAGTCTTCTAAAGCCACAAAATAAAAAAAAAAAAACCTCAGTCAATCTGGAATAACCATTCACAGCAGTTCACCTCTTTCTAGAACCAAAGGCCCTTCACTGAAACAGCTCTGTTTGAAACAGAAGATTCTTACTACAGACAAAAATATTGATATAGTCACATCACTGTAAAGAGATACAACATCACAGTTAAAGATTAAAAAAATTAAATTTAAAATCAGAGGTCTTATTCTGAAGGTTCCCATTCCTAAAATCATTGCATTAGTAGCCTGGAACAACATTGTTAGTTGAAAGAATTTTCCAAACAAGACCATTAATCAATATTTAAATTCAATAGGGGAATATCTACCAGAAAGCAGTATAGAGACAGTATTGGTGTTCCTAAAACATAAGCATTTTGAGAACTCCCTGAAACACATTCAAGTCCACTAACAAAAGTCAAAACGTGGGTCAGCGATTCTTGTTAGATATCTTTGACTCAGGTCCACCATCTGGAGGAAAAACAACTCCCCAGATTTGTCTCTTTGGGCAACTCATTACATATTAGAAATTTATTTGCAAAGAAAAATAAGCAGTCATTAGAAACAGAAGGGAGAAATCTGGACAAACTTCAGTTTAATCTGTTACATTTCAGTTTAATTTTAATTATCCAGAGAAAATGAAAGTTTAAAGTGCTTATTCAAATCACTTGGGCTGAGCAAGCAAAGAAAAATCTTTCAGCAACTTTTATATTGTGTTCTGAAAATACACTACAAATGATCAACTTTAAAAAGTCACTTATTTTTGTTCTAATAGAGACATATTTACTTTTGCTTTCAAGTAACACAATTTGCTCATGCCTGACAAATGTGAATGAGAAAGCTGTTACGATCCTTAACTGAATATGAAGAGCCATGCAGCGATGTACAGCCGAGTACTTCAGAGACCAACAAAACAACTTTCTGACAACCCCACAGAACGAAGTTTAAGAAAAATCACCCTTCACTCCCCAACAGCCCACCTCAGCAGCAGGGGAATAATTCATTCTCAAGGAAGAATGGCCTCGTGACCACGGCACAGCACTAAATCTTGTCTTGTCCTAGATATGGCTTTGTAGGACTCCTTGTGTGACAAATCCTAATCTTGTGCATTTCATCACTATTACTACGGAAGAGACAACAAAGATCCTCACTGAAATATTTTTAGGTACTTCTAATTTAATCATTATTTGCACAGCGCAAACAGAAATCCTAAGAAGCCAGCTAATTTCAAATAAAGGCGCTAAAAAACCAGAGGCTATACAGACAGGTTCATAGAACTGTGAAGAACTTCAGGCAGTCACCTTCTTCTGTCTGCCTGACCTGACACGGTACCGCCATCTCTTCACCCTGATCCTAAAGTCTCTGATGATGAAGGCTGCACAATTCCCAGGCAATCCTTCCTCTTTCACTCTTCTCCATTGCAGTGTTTTTCCTTTGCTTCTAACACCACAAATGAGGTTACTCCTATTGCCTATTCTCTTACACATCAGCAGAAAGAGTAGACAACCACTCCTTCACTGCAAGGACTGCTTACCCTTCTGAAGATCTGCATCTCTTTTCAGTCCTATCACCTAGATGAAAAGAACTCTCCTCTGCTCAGTGTTTCCTGTTTCTATGTTTTCTAGATCATACATCTAGAAAATGTTTTTTCTAGATGTGTGATCATTCTTGCTGCTTCCCTCTAGCTGTTCTGCCTTGGGCCACCTATTTGCTTGAACTCGAGTGCTCCAAGTTACACACTGCTCCTGCCGAGGCTTCACTAATGCTAAATACAGCAGAGGGATCGTTTTACATGCCTTGCACAGCATCTTCCACTTTATACAATCCCAGTATGGTATCTGGTTCTGCCTCGCTGTGTAAGGCTATTGATTCACGTTAAGGTTATGAGCCATGCATTTTCTTCACATCTTTTCTGCAGGACTGCTACTTATTTCTTCTTTCCTTTTTTTTAAAAAAAATCATTGTTCTATTTGAACAAACACTGCAGCCACATACTACTTCTTAACATACACTGAAAATGTTTGTGTTCATTCAGAGGGGAAACTCAGACTTTAGAACGTATTTAGTTTTCTATTTTGAAGATAAAAATGCAAACAACATGAAAATTATACCAATCTATGTCTTGATGAGATGTGATCATATCAAAAGACAGCATTCCTGTTGCTCACAGCAAGTTATTCATAGGAGCAGGAGATGATTACTTATTCTATGTCCGCATACTAGATGTTTGGAAATCACAGGACATTTTCTCATGCTCCAGGGAAGGCATTCTGCTGTTGGATCCTCCTTCCACTAAGTCTTACTCATCAAAGCAGTGAAGAAAAAACCTGGCATTTTTGGACAGCTTAGCCGTTGTGATCTTTGATAGTTACTACTTTTAGCATCAAACCAGGTCTGTGGGAACTATTACTCCACATATTTTTTGCTACTAGGCTGTTTCTGAACTCATTAAGTTTTCAAAGGTTGATTTTAAACATACCTATCAATGAGTAACCAAAATTGCTTTGAATTACGTATGGTATTAGAATGTAGATGCTACCTTTTTTCCCCCCATGTATTAACTGTTTGCAGTAGTCCCGTGTATATTTATGAACAGACTCACCCTCTTTCTACCTCCATTTTAATGCACCTTTTAATAAGGTTTTAGTATCATCCTAACCAATTGCCATTTGGACAATCCCATACTTAAGATTTTGTTAA